TTTTTTTTTTTTTTTTTTAACCGCAATTAAGCGTATTTTATTATTTTAACTATTAAATTTTATATACAGTTATTATTAGGAGGTTTTATAAATTTGAGAATATTTCTAAGTAAAGAGGATGTTGTCCCATTCTGCTGTATCTTTTGAAGAATGGCTAGTTCTTTTCTAATTTTAATATTTACTATATTGGCTGCTACACATTCTGGTATATTATTTTTCCCCCATCTGAACTGTGTATACCAGCACCAGATTTCGTAGACTATGTTGATATGTAACCACAGAGCTACTTTACGTTCCTTGTAGTTTTTAACATTGCTTGCTGAGAAAATTTCTTGCAACGAGGTTGGAATAGAGACTTCTGAGTGGTTATGTAGATGCCTGTATCCTTGCATCCATATTGTTTGGCTTATCTTGCACTTTAATGCGAAGTGTTCTATTGTCTGAGTGGTGTGGGGGCATGCCGGGCAGTTGGTATCTGTGTTTCTTAGAATATGGTCAAGGCGGTAGCCTAGTGGGAGAGCCCTATGGAATAGTCGCCAGAAGATGTCCTTTTTTTTGTTTTGGACATGTTTGGTGTTAAGCCAAGTTGGGTGATCTATTGCCTGAGGGTTCTGGTCCGAAACAGCTGAGTAGGAGGTGGCTATTAGTTCTGTGCGAAGTGTTTCTGATATATTCTTTACTGAGAGTTCTGTTGCCAGAGTATTTCCAAGTTTTAGTTTGTCTAGTGTCCAGGGCCAGGAAGTATTCGTGATAACTGTTCCCTTGGCTCTTTTCCATGCTTTTAGGTATGGCTTCCATCTTTCTGGCCATCCTTTAAGTTTGATTGGGTTTTCTTTTAGGGTTTGTATTACTGAGCTGTTTCTTTTGCTTTGTAGTTCCTTGGTAATTATTTCTCTTTCTGTTTTGGCCCAGAATGATTCTTCTGTGAGAAGCTTAACCCATATTGAGGTAAGTCGAGAGTCTAACATATCTTTTAGGATTGGTGCGAGTAGACCTCCTCTTTCCTGGTCTAGTTGGAACGTAGAGAAGCGAGGAAGCATTTTAGATTTGCCTTTTATCCAGGTTTTAATTATTGTGTCGATTTCATTTAATTGTTTTCTGCTAGGTGGTAGAAGGTAGGCCAAGTACCAGATTTTGGACAAAAGGAGGGTTTTGGCTACCAGAATCTTCCCTTTGAATGATAGGTTTCTTGAAGAAAGAAAGTCAACATGTTTTTTGATTTTTTTCGTCATTTCAGGCCAAAGATCTCTTGAGGGATTGCCTTTATTATCTGATTCATATCCTAATATTTTAAGGTTTTTGTTTTCCGGATGAGACTGGAAGTCATTCATACCTGGGAGTTGTACTCTACGTGCATTTGTAGTAAGAGGGACTATAATTGATTTGGTTTTATTTATTTTGGCATTTGATGCTTCCTCATATTTTTGAATTGTACTTCGAAGTTGGTCCCAGTCTGTGATGGAGCTAATGCCGACTGTGAGGTCATCTGCATATGCTGCTAGCTTAAAAGTGTTTCCGGAAACCTGGATGCCCTGTATATTGTTGTGTAGTGTTTGAAGGAGTGGGTCAAAGGCTAGAACATATAGAAGTGGTGATAGTGGGTCACCTTGTCTAACACCTCTACTAATTTTAAAAGGTTCCGATAATATACCATTGTCTATGATATGGGCTTGTTGTGATGTGAATAGATTGTTAACTACTACGATAAGCCTGTTGTCAAAACCCATTCTCTCCAGAACTAGTTTTAGATAGGAATGGTTGACTCTGTCAAATGCTTTCTGTTGATCGAGAAGAAGTAACCAGTGTTGTTTAGTTTGATCGTTCTGATTTCTTAGCACAGTTAGAATGTCTAAAGCTGAGTTCGTGATCGACCTTTTGGCAATAAAAGCTTGTTGTGTAGGGCTAATAATAGTTTGGCAAATAGGGTTGATACGTGTGGCTAGTATTTTCATAAAGATCTTTGCATCGCTGTTAACTAAAGATATAGGTCTCCAGTTGTTTATATTGCTGAGGTCATCTGATTTTTTGGGAATTAGTGTAATAATACTTTTTCCCCATGATAGTGGCATTATTCCAGTATTTAAAGCTGAATTAAACAGGTTACACAGAATAGGTACCAGGCTTTCTTTCATATCTTTGTAAAACTCGTAGGTGAGGCCATCTGCACCTGGTGCTTTATTGTTTGGAAGGGTGTTGATTATATTGGTAATTTCCTCTTCGCTGATTGGGTTAATTAGTTTAGTGTTTTGTTCCTGAGTCACCTGTGGAAGATTTTTAGTTATATAAGCTGCTGCATCTGCGTTATAGCTTTCTTCTCTGTAGATATTCTGGTAACAGTCTTTAATATATTCAAGAGTGTCTAGCGGCTCTTGAGAGTTTGGATTTGCTGGGTTTTGAATACAGCTAGTGCAAGAAGTATTGTGTTTGGTTTTGTATAGAGAAAAAAAGTATCTCGTAGATTTTTCACCATTCTCGACCCATTTGGCGTTGGATCTGATCTGCCATTTTTCTGAGAGTAACGAGAGTTCTTCCTGTATTTGGGATTTAATGTGTTCTGCAATTAGATAAAAGTCTTCTTGCGCAGGGTCTTCAACCATTTTTGTTTTAATTTGATTAAGTCTCTTGTGCAACTTTTGAATATTCCTCTCTGGGGGTGAAGTAGGTTTAGTTGATCTAAATATCGACTGAATATTACATTTGAGCATATCCCACTCCTGTATATTTGAGAGATTTTCTATTTCTGTGCTGATTTCTGCCTTTAAGTCTGGGTTGCTCCAATAGCCTCTGTTGAACTTCCAGAGAGGTGAGTGCTTTGTTTTCAGGTTGAGAGAAATTGAACTTTCTACTAGTAAGTGGTCTGAATTACCAAAGCGTGTAAGTGTATTAAACTTTAAGATTCCAAGATTTGTGCTAGCAAAAATATAGTCTAGTCGGGTAGCCATTGTTTGGTTGCTATGAGTGTTTTGATAGAAGGTAAAAAATGGTTTGTCATTGGAGAACTCTGCTGTATCAATGTAGTCTCTAATAATGTCTTGGAGTAGGCCTCTTGATGGGTCCCTTTGTGGTGCTGCTTGACTCTTTCTGTTTATTTCGGGATTGAGATTGGTGTTAAAATCCCCTGCAATAATATGAAGCCTATCTACTTCTTCTGGTAACGACCAACTTCTGAAAAATGAACACCTTTCTTCAATACTGGGAGGAGCATAAACATTGGTGATTAGATAGGAGGTTTGTTTAAAGTTGAATTTAGCTGAGATAACTCTGTCATTGTGTGAAATTTCGACTTCTTCGAACTTGATATTTGGTTTCCCTGCAAGAATGGCTGTTTTTGTTGTCCAGATAGAGTTATAACCCCATTGTTGTGTTAAGAATTTTCTTAGAGAATTGTCATTTAGGTTTGTTTCTTGGAGAAGAATTACGTCTAGATGGTATGACTTTAGGAGAGTTAGTGATTGTTGGGCCTTTGTTTTGTTGTTTAGACCCTTAACATTGAGTGTGGCAATTTTAATCATGAGATAATAACAGAAGAGTTGGTTGGCCACACATTATTGTTTGTCATATTAAAATTTAGAGGTTGGGAACGTATGAGTTCCCAGTATCCATTACATCTGAAGTGTTGTTGTCTGGAGTGGTTTTCCTTTTTCCTTTATTCTTAGCATTTTTCTTTTTAGAAGTAACTAATGTGAATTCTTCTTCTGTTTCTTTTGAAGCGTTCGCTTCTGGGGTTTTGTGAGCTGGGGATGCTGCTAATGTAAGGTTTGTATTGTCTTTTCCTGTGCTTCCCTCCGAGTGCACTACTGAAGGGTTTGCTTCGTTGATTAAGTTTGTTTTGTCTAGAGTCATTTCTTGAGATTTTGGTTTTTGATCGGTAATACTTGTCTCTTTTACTTTGTTGCTTGTAGATGGTTCTTGAGAGTCAACTATCATATTTGCATTGTATGGGTTGTTTGAGCTAAAGCTGATTTGTGAATTAGATTCATCCGTATTTGGTGATGCCAAGCTTGTTTCTCTAAGAAGTCTGCGTTCTCTTTGTTTTTGTCTAAATTCTATAGAGAGTTTGAGCTCCTCACAGTCTTTTTTGATGTGACCCTCTTTTTCACAAAAGTAGCAAACTTTGGGTGCTTCTTTCCAGCTTGTTGCTACTTTGTGGTCCCCCACGTGTGTGTATCTGGGAATTCTTGAAGCGACATCTGTATCGTTAGTTGTTTCGAATGTAATAATCCATTGATCTGAGGCTATTGTTGTGCCTTCAAAAAGTAAAGGTTTAATAGAAGCGATTGTGCCAATGTCTTGAAAAGCTTCTTTAATTTGGTGATTGGTGGAGATTCTATCTCCCATGGGTGCATTGGCAATTTTGACAGACAGAAAGGTGCGTTTAAGGTTAATGGGTACATAACCTAGTAATGCTTGTTTAAATATGTTGATTCCTGTTGCAGCATATTTTTGTTGTACTTCTTTGTTCTTAAAGACAATTTCTAGCTGAGTACGTTTTCCTCTTGATAGATGGAATTTTGCAGCTAGGATTTCAGACCCAAATTTGGTGTAAATTGCAAGGATGATTTCATTGGACGTGATGTTTTCGAGTGCTTGAATGTCGAAAATAAGCGCGTTTTCGTTTTTTGAGTGTAATTTATGTCTGGGACCACTGTTTACAAAGGTGGCTTTACCTCCTTTTAGTTTTGGAAAGAGCTCAGACCATTGTCTGGTTCTGGTATTGGTTCCTGTGAATTTGTTTTGTTCTGCATCCAGAGCTGTGCTAGGGTTATCGTTTGTTTGTAAGATATTTTGGGAGGAGCTGGCTTGTGTTTGTGCCAGGTCTGCTTCATCGCTAGTTTGTGTTTTGTCACGTAAAGACACGTGTTTTGTTTCTGTTTGTTTGTTTACGTCTGTTGTTTTTTCTCGACGTGTTTCGTTGTTGGCCTTCTTGTTTGGAGTTTCGCTTGTACCTTTGTTTTCCTTGCTTTGAGGGGTGTTTCTGTTAGTTGTGGTAGTAGTTTCTTCTGTTGCCATACTGGCTTCTACTGTGTCTGCCCAGTTTATATTGCTGCTGTTAGTGTTGCAACCCCTAACAGTGTTGGCATCTGTGAGAGCTTTCTCTTTTGTCTCGTCAAGTTTAAAGGAAAAGTCAAAAGTTTTTGTTGTAGGCCTAGTATCTAGAGTCTTAGTTCTCTTTGTAGCTTTGCCCATTTTTGTTTCGAGAAGTTTTCTCTTCTTTGGTATAAGGGCTGTGGCCCTTCGTCTTATGTTTTGGAGAGCTGTAGTTACTTTTTTTGTTGTTATTTTG